CCTTTCATAAATTGGCTTTCACAGGTTGTTGGGGTGAAATGCGTTTTCAATGTAAATCTATAACGAAGAACATAAAACAGCACAAGCACTCTGACTAATCTATGCTTGCTCTTTTTTTTTGGGTTACTGATGAGAGGTTGTGGACTGATGAAGAGACTAATCTCAGGCTACCACCTGCATAGTTTAAAAGGAAGGTGATACGAATCTGAGAAATGCTATTTTGATAATGTGATTTAAACGCTCTTTTGAAAGAAATAAAGGTAATACATAACCAATCCTGTAACTTCATCTCTTTTGTTCCTGACCGTCCTGGGCAGAAATACCTTTCTGTCTCTTTCTCATGTCCTTCTTGCTCAAAGACCTCCTTAGGGCTGCACCACTGATCCAGTGAATTCATGGAGGAGTTTGAGAGGTGAAACAGGTTCTTCTCACATGTGAAGCAGCAGAACTTTCACGGGATAAACTGCAGAAAACTTTTCCTTACTACTGTTATTATTTTAGCTGGTTGCCCAATCCCAAATTCATTTAAGTCATACAGGTAAAGAGCACAGAAGTTAAATTCATTTACCCCTGAAATAACCCACAGAACTTCAACTGCAGCATAACAGTCTCTGAGCATTTGTTAAAAATACCTAGAAGCTAGACAGCAGTAATGTCATCTGTCCAAAATCATGTTAAGTAGGGCTGTCCTCATCAGGCAGTTCAGCCTTTTTATGATCAAAAACATACTGTGAAACATGCTGCTCAGTCAAATCCTGGCATGTGTCTCTACGACCATGCATGAGCTGCCTGAGATCCTGTTCCTAAAGCCTTCAAATTACTTTCAAATTCCAAACCAGACAAAGTTGGTTCCTGAACATGAAGGAATCCAAAATAAGCTCACCAGGCCTTACGGCCTTACATTAGCAAAAAAACCAACCAACCAATCAACAAAACAACAAAAGCTTCTAAGAGCTAGTAATGGCTTACATTTCTGGTCTAGAAGAAATTTCTGAACACACTTAGAAACTATGGCAAGCTTTTCAGTAATCTTGAGACTCAGAGGGATGTGGCATGGCCTCAGCAAGCTCTGAAGACCACAATATACTCAGTATTTGTGGTGCAGAACCCTCTTGGCAGACAAGCATCTGCAAGATTCAAACACAACAGGACTGGAGTAACAGGTGAAAATACAGGATTTAGTAGGAAAAGGTGGTGCTCTTCTCAACGACCACAGATTAGTGCTCAATGCAAAAAAGAGGAAAACTACGCTGCTAAGGTTATGTGAACATTGTATCTGGAAGCAAAAAATAGAGGACGTACTTATTATCTGCGAATATTTGTTATTTCTGCAAGTCAGAAGCATATGCTCAATTCAAGCTCTGACAGTAATGTATACTGGTACTCTATTTGTCACTCAACGAAAAATACAACAGTTCTTTGCATTTTCAGTTTCAATTCCTCCCACCCTAAAAATCAGAAAGTTGCTGGACTTTGAAGCGCATAGACTTTATTATTTAGAAAAAATAAGTAGTATTTTGACTTAAGGCAAGATGGCACTCCAGATCATTGCTTGTAGCAGACAGTTCCATTATGCTGAAGCAGAGTTCTGTCATTCTCAGTGTTTAAAACAGAGGGTTTAAAACTGACATTCATCTTCTCAATCTATATACCAAAGACTTACTGGAAGAAAAATTAAATGAGATGCTACAGTAAGTCAATATCTGTTAGCACTAATGCAAAGGCAACAAAACCAGTGGCAGTTATGAAAAAGGTGTTCACAAGCAGACCAATGTCTCCTTTTCTGGAGAAACAGCACAGATGATACATATAATTTCTCTAATACCAGAAAAAAATATTAATACATATTAACCTATCTATCCTGCCTATCTTAACGTATCGAAGCTACCTTAAATCTGTGTTAGCAGTAAGTTAAAGATAACAGTTAAGACCTTTGCCAGTTCCCAAGTCAGTTTCCTGCTTGTAATGAACAGCATTTTTAGGACTAGCTTCCGATTTATAACTTTGGTGCTGGCGCACAACACTAACAAACAAAATGTTTGCTGGAGCACAACACTAATGAACAAAGCATCCCCAAGCAGTTCAGGTAGGTATGCTGTAAGGAACACTTCAAAACGCAATCACAGCTGGAAATGACAGTTTAAAAAAAAGCATTAAATAACAGATCTGCCACATGGGTTTTTTTTTTTAGTTTTATTAATGGCTGGCAAATACATTTGTTGCAGACAGTACACAACTGTGTACAAAAAGTGCAAAAAACTTAGTCAAGGCCTAGAAAATACAGGCTCTATTTTTCAACAGCATCAACAGTATATAAAGTCCAGTTAAAGTTGCATGGCAACATTCATTACAATTTTTACAATAGAATTTATCGCCTGTTGGTAGCAATGGTGCCAGCTGCAGCAATATTAAAACGGATTAAAAATATTTCAGCAGAGGTGCACAAACAGGAATTGTCACCTACTGCTTCTTGTCTTACAGTAATATGGTAAGCCCTGTAACATTCTCATAAATTAGAAAGGAAGAAGTCTTGTACCATGTGGTTGGTGACTCAGCTCACTGCAACTATCATAAATCCGATTTGCTTACTAGCAACCATCAGCATATTGACAGCTAAATCATAAGAACTCAAGTTACAGTGCCACTTGCTAAACACTTAGCACAATTTTATTGTACTTGACTGAAATCTATGCAAACTCTGTTTAAATAGAAAAATATGCTTATCTTATTCTGAAAAATATATGGGGAAACATAGTAATGAAACATAAAATCTCAATGGGCAAAAAGAATTAAAGAAATAGCTCGACTACATGTCCACTATGCAAAACTAATATTCAGCATTCCACAGTGAATTAAAAGCAGATTGCCTTTTATCAATGAAAACAAACCTATTCTGAAAATGAAAACAGCCACAGGATGTTTTCCTTCAAATATTTTGAAACTCAAGTTAATGAAAAGGTAAACAGTGTGTTCTGCATTTCATGTGACCTACAAAATATGTCTAGGGATAGAAAATCAATGAATTTTTTTAATTGTATGTTTAACAACTAACTGTGGGAAAAGAAGAAATAATATATTGGAAAATTCACTTTTGTTAAAGTACAGAAGCATGCCTTCTTTAGCTGAGGATATGCTACAGCTAACGAATAGCAACTAATAAAGTTATGAAGGCTTAGCCACCACTTGTCAACAGTACTGTAATAATTAACTTTATATGATCTTCTACTCCAGTGAGGTTAAAAACCCTCTAGGGGTTTAACAAAGTGTCAGTACCCATTCATAAACTAGATTTGAAACATAAGACCCACTCACTACAAGGTATGAGATTAACAGACTTTCATACCACCGAAAAACAGGACCAGCAGCAGAAAGTAACAGAAATAACAACAGTTCTAAAAATCAAAACAATTCAATGAAGATACCTGTATTACCTGTTTTTAATGATTACAGCTAAATGAAGGCCTATTTTAAGTAAATATTGAAAGCACATAGTGAGCCATGCCTATGAATACATCAAAAATAATGTGACAAAATAAACTAGTAAGATTAACAATAGTTCTTCTGTACTCTTGGCAATAAAATTGTCCTCTTAGAAAATAAAATTCCAACTGTAAAGTCCTTTACAACAGTAGCATAAATTATTTCATTTTGAGGCTCATATACTTTATGCAACCAGCATAAGCCTGATGTATTTGAATTCTTGGCAGAATTTCCTACAGGAAGTGACAAAATGTCTTTCTGTTTGAATTTAGCAACCCTCTTCAAGCATGAAATCTCTCTCCATGTGTCCTCACATATCCAGAATATCCAGTTCTGAACCATTTCTAACATTACAGTAACCAGTAACTAGTTCACTTTCATACTGGAAAATCTTGGTCAAATAAATTTAAAAGAAGAAAGCGGCTTTTTAGCTCCATGTCAGTATATGTGTGATCTTGCCCTTACTTTCTTCTACCATCACAAGAAGGAAAACCAACAAGATGCTTCCATTCAAACACTGCTCCAGAAATACCGTATTTCTATGATATTTTCCTATTAACTTGATTTTGCTCACATGAAGCATGGAAATCCTGCTGCACACTATGCTAATTGCTCACCTACATCACACATGACTGTGCTTTGCAAGAGCATAGTTACATTACAAACCAATGATACCATTATAGTAGGAAATGATCCAATACATTAAAACTTAGCCTGTGGACTATAAACATTTCAGATTTCAGACTTTCTCAGTGGACCACCCACAGGAATTTAGGATAATGTGGAGGAAAATATACAATTTCATGTACTACTATTTTTTGATTCAGAATTGCTTTCTGGTGTCACTTCTGCAGCACATCCCTTAGTACTTACTTCTGCTCTTCTTCAGTCTTTTAGAGTGTCCTTGTCTGCTCTCAACCTCAACTGCTTATTTCAACAAGCATCTTCTCACTTGTCTGTCTTCATTTCACTTCTTACAGACATCACTAGTTAGTTAATATTTAATAACATGCCATCAGTTGGCTTCAGGAGATACATTGCACTGAAATTAATGAGCCACAGGGGTGTTAAAATTCCACCCTTATTTCAGGCCAAAGCTTGCCATGTTTTGTCCACATGTAGAAACTTCTCTCTGCATTTACAAGTATTTAGAGCCTTTTTCCAACTGTTGTGGAAAGCTTAGATTATTTACACTAACTGAACCACGTGTATGTACTATATAAACAAAACAATTCTATTTATAAAGACTCAAAAACCACTACTATGCTTCCTGGTATTTTATTACAGTTACTAGGGATTAGCCCACCAGCTGAGATAAGCCACTTGCACTGAACAGCTATACAATTTTTTGTAGATATGTCCTAGTTGATAAATTTCCTTAGAAAAATAAATAAGATCTACAGTGAAGACGCAATATAACATGTATTTGCACGCACGTACTCCCACTCACATATGCACCTTTTCCTAAGGAGCTTCTGTCACTCTCAGAAGCAGAGGGAAAAATATAGAACAAGCCTTACCTTTCTGCAGACACTTTCAAAACTAACTTCTGTCCTAAGAGCAAGTCTGGTAACTTCATCTGGCTTTATTTCCTGTGGATGAAAGATATATTTATTCTTCTTATGATCAGACTTTATGAAATCTTTCTAAGGTCCACCTTCCTGATAAACATTCTAACTTCATGGTATCTCCCACCGATGTCTTAAAGGAAGAAAATCAGTTTGTTATATTGAGATTTTGTGTGTGTGTGTGTGTATGTAAATACTGCATTTACTGACATCCAAAACATTACTTACACCTAATCTGACTGTACCTACTACTACTGAGAGCAAGAGAGATTTTCAACCGCAAAGTATGCAGAAGGGTGATTTTATTTACAGAAAAGTTTGCCTGTATTGTCATGCTACAAATAAACTTTGGAAGGTCTGAAATGGCCCACTTAGATTCTGAAGTTATATGAGAACTTATCAACATACGTGAATACACAAGTTTAAGACAACGAAAATGAAGTCGAGAAGAAAAATAAATAATTCTCTTTTCTGAAGAGATTGACTACACATGCAGTTTTCATTCCTGGATTTCAGCATTTCCATTGGCAGCTGAAATAGAAGACTAAAAATCCTGGACAAGTGGATTTTGTTAAAAGTTGAATATTTTATGAAACATGCCCCCATGACAGATTTCTCGTTACTTTAAAACACGTACTTTATATATGTTGTATTACAAAATGCCCTATTAACCTTATCAATTGAATGCACTATATATTGGCTTTTTCTTCCTAGGGCACTGCGTACCAACAGATCATGTTACATACCAGTTGTTTGCCAGATGGCCATTTTCAAAGCAGTTTAACTACTGTTAAGCAAAGTCCAAAAAAATTCCACACACTCGTAGTTCTGAAAAACGCAAAACTTTGTACAAAGAAACCTAGCTATTCTGGTAGCTTTCACCTAGATCCAGCCGGTATGACAATGCTGGTGGCTTCTGCACATGAAGAAAATTATCTGTTTGCTGAATTTCTAAAACTCCAGGAAAGAGGATGACTTAAATACAAAATATAGTAATTTTGCAACACTTGTGGTCAATAAAGAAGAAAATTTGAATTGGAAGTGCCCATGCAAAGCATTATAGTTTGAGAAAATGAGGCATATCTGGGTGGCTGGGATGCACCTGTAGCTAACATTATGCCCAGATGTGCACAAGAAAGACACTAACTGAAAACCTTTAAAAGCAACTACTGTAAATATTGGCTCAGAATAAATAATGTCTTAGCAAAGACTGAAATGCAAATCAAATTATGGTAGACATCATAATTTACAAATGTCTAGGAAAAAAAACCAACTATACAATAGGGAAAGACTTTGGTGTTCAACAACTAAATTATATTTGTTCCTTTCTCTCTTTTTCCCTACTTAATCATCCTTGATAAATATTCCAATACTTTCATTTAATATCCTGCTCCATTGTTAAGTTTCCATATTCTATCCTGTTTCTGTCCTAAATCTGGAGCACTCTGTGCACTTCCTTAGAGGGAAGAACCAAGTAGCTTACTTTCTTATAAAGGGTCATACCTTGCATTTCAAAACCTTACGTTGTCCTTCCTTCTCTACTTTACACACCTGCCATAGAGCTCACAACTTACCTAGATCTTTAAGTTATTGCATAAATTTCAAGTGTCTTAAACTATAAGCAAGCATATAATAATGCAAACAGAGTAACAAAATGAAATTAAATTAAAATAATAACAACAACAATAATAATAACAACAGTAACAGTAATCTGTTTTTGTGAATGTTTGAAAAGTTCCCTGACAATGAAGTCTAGAATTCTGATAAATCATCTCCCAAAGGTACTGGTGGAAGCCCAATCACTTGGAAGACAGAATCCAGACTGGAAAAACACTGGTGGATGTAGGAAACAATCTTCTACTGGCATATGGACAGTTGGATGACCTAATAGAATCTAGAGATGAAAAAGACCTATGATTCAGTTTCCCATGAGTTTCCACAGTGTTTCACAGATGGTGAAAGTAGGACACAGTGGTTAAGTGTCATGCTTATTGTCACATAGTTGGTTGGGGGCTATGAATGAAGCTCTGGAATCAATACTATTCATTAAAACAAGCTGTTGCTTTATAAAAAAAAAAAAAATTCTATGATTTTAATCCCAAATAAAACTGCCTATTTCCTGTCTCTTTAGGATTTAAATACAGCAACCTGGTTCAGATGGGAAGCAGGCAGGTAAACTTCAGTAATCCCTACAGCAGAATGTCAAAAGCCTAATTTTTATATGACAATATAAATGTAAATGTTCCTTTAACATTGCAGAATCATGCATAATAATGGAGAAAGAATTGCAGTTTGGAATGTGAAGTCATGAATGGAGCTTCACTGAAATGATTAGTATCGCGAATGAGGTCAAGAACGTCCTGTTAAGGCTTCAAACACCAAATTTATAATGCATCTCCTTCACTTCTCTTAGATTAAGGCAAAACAAGCATTTTTAATTTATATAGTCTCCAGCAGCACCTTTTGTAAGAGCAGCCATATAAGACAAGTTATTGGAATAAACAGACCTTTCTTCTGTGCCTACTAATGGTCAGCAGCAGACCAGAAAATAGAAAAGTATATAGTGGTATTTTTCCCAGCTGTTTTCTCAAATTTGAGATACACGTAGCTCAAGAACCCCTGACTCATAAAGAGAACCTTTGTTTTGAATACCTATTTAGAAATGTTTCACCAATTATTTTAAGGGAAGTTACAAGTGGCTGCCACATCCAGCACCTCTGGGACAGGTGTAGAGATTCCTTGTGCCCTGCTGCTGGAACCCAGATCGGTGCATTCAGAAACCTGGAGGTCTCCATCCCAGGTCCATAGATGGGGCAATCGCTTTCTCATCAGCAGGTTCAATCACTAGTAAAGCTCAGCTATGCAGCCAGCTGCCATAGACAAGGCACTGCCTTTGACAGCACCCACATGTAACACTCCCAGGACTCACGTGAATTTAAGCAGAGGCAGAGAAGACTTCTTCCTCATTTTTGTCTTATCAAGACTGAAGCTCGCTGTTGAAAACATGCCCCCTCATACCCTGTCTAGATTTGCAAGCACATGCACATTCATGGGTGCCTCAAATATCAGCACAGTATATCCCTCTGTCCATCTAATAATCCTTTGCCTGGGTCCAGAGCTCTTTTACTCATCTCATGGCCTCCTACTTGCTGGTGGGCAGCAAGTCACTAGCAGGCAGATGCGTGCACTCACGTTGTCATCTTATAGACACTTTTGTCTTACAGGGACCCCAAGATCACAGGTCCCTCCCAAACACCAGCATGGGCCCTCTACCCACCTGATAACCCTGCCTAGACCCAGCGTGTCTCACTCACTGCTAGTCCAACTTGAAGTTTTTTGGTGAATTACACATGCCAAAGAGACAAACATATGGGGTCATACCATGTGAAAATGCACTCTGCCTGCTCCAATCAGCAGCACGCAACAGGTACAGCACCTGCGATTTGCAGTCCTGGTCCAGATGCTGTGCCACAAGCCTCACTTGCTTCACTCACCCCAGTCTCACCCACAGATGCACCCAGGACACACACTGTCCCTGTCCTCCCAGCTGGGACACATGCTGCTCCTGCTGCTGTGGCTGGAGCAGAGACATCAGCAGCTCAGGGCACCTACACCCCTGGTGTGACTCCAGTTGCTGGCCCCATATCCACTCATGCTGGTCCCCCCAGTAGCTGGCACCTAGTCCTTACAGCACTCACACACAGAGGATAAAGAGTAAGATCACACAGAAATGAAAAAAAGATTTATAAAAAGACGACAGACAGTGGTGATCATACAGAGGGCTTGGTCAGATAAGTGTACTAACCGGCACTGGTTCGGACCAGCCCCTCTGATACCTGCTCTCACCTATGCTCCCTAAACATTGTTTAGTAACTTTCACATAGTCCACAGGTCTCCCCATATCCCAAAATCCTCATGTTCATCTTGCTTTCTGTTCTTCTCACTTAGAAAGTCCAGGCTGGCCTTCCCCAAATCAATACCAGGAGTTTCTTAATGGCCCATTACTTGGTGACTGAAGACTTTAGCATTCTCTCTGTTATCCCTTGTCCATCAGCTCTGTTCCTCTCTGTCTTTTTGTTCACCCCTTCACTTACTGAAAACGTCCACTACTGGAGGTTCATAATGAAGAATGCTCTTACCACCTTCCATATGACCTCACAAATCATAGTTGCTTTCTGAAATCAAGTTAATACTTGGTATCATAACATCTTGTGTCAGTAAGTTTCCAAGATTAATGACGTATTATGTTCCAAGTGAAGAGGGAATGCAAAAGTTACGAAGGAACCAGACAAGTACGCTACTTTATGAAGTATCCAGTCCACAATCAACCCAGATTAGGTAAACACAGACGAAGACCCCCTACCAACCACCACACACTCTCCTTCTCTCCTTGAAAAATAATGTCTGACAAACATTTTAAGCAACCCCCAAACACCTAAAAAAACACCTTAAAAATTAGGTGTTGAAGTACTGACTACCTCGCGAGGAATGATGAAAAACATCTGTCAAGATCAACAAACCCTTCTCCCCTGCATGCTGACCATGTTTTCTCTTGTGGTAAAGAGACTGCAAGAGCTCCTGACCTTCAGATGTGCTCCAGCACTGATAACACCAGTGCCCTAGCTGGTAAATAGTGGCACGCTGAGGGATGGTAGTGAGCAATAGACGGAATAGGCTGTTTTCTTTTCATTACAGACTCCACCCGTCTCAACTTCTGTCATGAAACCCTTTCAAAGACAGGGCCATGGGCAAGGGAAGACTGTAGGCTGATGGACACGACATAAAGCACAGTGGTGTAGCTCTCTTTGTCCTGGTGCCTGAGCTGAGCCAACAACTACCACAGAAGCTACCAAGGTGAGACTGGAAGGAGGTGGCAAAGGCAATGGACTAGCACCAGCAGGAGCAGCCTGACTCTCTGAGCTGGGATTTTTCAACATTTCACAATGTGGAGACCTCCTTCAGGCATTTGCTGCTGGAGCAGCTGCTCCACGCTCCAGAGCGGGGATGTCAGGCGAACTGACCCA